AAAATGCCGAAATAATAATAAACTCACATTTTCTCTCTTGTCTCACTTAATTTTCTCTCTATCTTATATTCATTCTTTTATGATTTTTACCTAATTTAATAATTACAATAATCATCTCTCTCGCACACAAATTTCATAAAATTAACGACTATGGCTTCATCATTTAATAAAGTGAAGTGATATTGGGGTTTCCTTCAATTCTTTGTCATTACATTTTGTTCACGTGCATCAGCAAAAAATATCCACGACTCCGGATATCGTTCACAAATCTTTTAATTTAAATGATATTCAATACTTGTATCAACACCCACAATATAATACTCAAATTCGTCGTAAGCGAACCTCTAATCTCCGACTCGCATGTAAAGATTCATCTCATTCTTATATCTCTTTTATGCCTATACATATTCCATTGTTGTTGTTACTATTGTGTGGCGTCTCTTTCGTGACTATTGACAGCGATTAATTGTCTTATTTTTAGCCTTACACTATATTAAATATCTTTTATATCTTAATCTCCTCTCGTGTCATAATTTAATATCATAATCACGTTATTGTGGTAAAGTGAGGTAAGAAGCTCACACGACTGTATAAAATCGTTAAGAATGTGTTGAAGTTAATTTATCAAACTAATGATTCGTGGTAGTGTCGGGTTTAAAAAAAAGTAACCACCATTCTCATCCTACTCAAATTACTGCTACAATTTCTATTTATCTACTTTATTACCGACAATGTGCCAATAGATTGCAGTCAATTTGGAAAATAAAGGTAGGAAGAAAATGAAAATATTGTGAATGATTGAAAACATAAATTTATACATGATATATTATTTGATCGATAACACGATAAAATGAAAATAGTTTTTTTCTTCATTTTCATTTCGGTTTTTGAGAAATGAGAATGGTTAGGACTGTTCATACCAGTTTATACTTCAATAAAATTCTAAAAAGAAGTGAATGAGAAATTAAGAGGGAGAAAATCGAAGGTGAATTTAAAAAAATTTGTGGGTAAATGACCGCCCAATAATTCTTTTATAAATTGAAATCATTGTTTCAGATCGTTAAGCAATCAATTCCGCAGATGACTAATGAGTGCTCATTAATTTTACTTTTGTCTTACGCAGTTCGTTCTCTAATGAATTAAGCCATTTTTTTCTACTGTTTTTTGTGGTATAAAAGATAATTGAGATCTAATTTACTAATTAGATTTTGTTTAAAATAATAAGTATATTCAAACATATTAATCTTTATTAATTTGGTACATAATTGAGGCTTAGCTTGAATTTTTTTAAATTATGCCTAGTGTGTATAAAGCAAGTATAAAGTCATTCAAGTGTTTTAGCTGATTCCATATTTCAATCATAAGCAGCAAAAATAACTATGTTGTCCTAAATCAACACATAAAATACCATGCCTAACACAAAAATATCAGTCCATTCGATGCTTAAAAATGCCAATAAACAAGTTTAATAATAAAAGTTAAAATAAATCATCATGAAGAAATATTTTCATTATCATAAAAATGGCAACAATATGAAAAGTAGACAAAACATAACAAGAAGACAGAGCCAAAACAATAAAAGTTGCTGATCAATGAATGAGAAAGAGTCGCACACTTATTCATGTATTGATAAAAATTTCATTGTGATGATGATGATGGCATTAGTGGGAGAAGACTAAGTAGAACATCAATAGATATAGCAATAGGAAGAAAAAAAATCAATTTACTAAATTGAACTATGGCATGTAATTTGGTTTATTTTTTGAAAGCAGCATTCTTCAATCTATCTCACTGCTGGCTGGTTGGCTAGCTGACTGTTATGTCTAGTATAAAACTAGAAAAAGGAAGAAAAGTGAAATCTGAATGAGTGAGTAAGCGAGCAATGCCTTCATTCTAAGGATAGAATATTGAATGTAATACATAGCACAAAAATATCTATTTTATATGAATATGTGCTTATGTATGTGTAGATTTGTATGTGCTTTGGCAGAGAATGAGAGCGAGATATCCATTTCGCAAATTAATTCGAGTGAATTCTGATTTACAAGTTTTTAATTTCGTATATTGAAATTGTAATGTAATTGATTCCAATGACGTATAATTTTTCCACCCTCCTACACTCCTTCTCATTTTCTGTTCCTAAATCAACTCAACAATATAAATTGTGGAGGAATGAGTATGCATACACACAGTAGGATATCAAACTAAATAAAAATGAATGTGTATGAGTGTGGGGATGTTCATGGAACCCAATAAATTAGGTTTTGCGGTGATTTGTCGAATGGCTGTATCAATTAATTGGGCAGCTATGAAATTCGAGAGTATAAAAATGAATTTGAAGCAGCCATGGTAATAATCATTATATTAAATGTCTGCTGGGACTTCTTTTAATTAATATTCTTTATTTCTGGTTTCTTTTAATGGAATGTATTTTTTGATGTTTCTGCAAAAATTTGATACTAGAAATTCACAAGAATTAACAAATTTTTTGAACATAAATACATAATCGATATGTCCCCAATATGACCAGTACTTATTGAGCTCTAACAAATTAGATAAATTCATTACACTCTAAATTGTCTTACTTACTGCTACATTTCCAACTCTCATACACATACATATGGATGGAGATATTTATTTAGGACTTAAAGGCATCAAACAAACAAGCAAACAACAATAACAATGTATTTGTTATATTAACACACAAAAGCCTAATTGATTCTCGTTAATTGTTCATGGCTATGATTATGTTTAATTACAACCCACAACAGCATCATTGAAACATAGAAGAAAAAGTTTTCCATCATCCTTCTCTATCTCTATCTCTCTCTCTCTCTCTCTCCCTCTCGTTCCATTACCCCTGCTATTTATACAAATTCAATTAAATTCGTTTTTTTTAATTACCAAAGTTTTTCACTTTTCTGTTCTTGTTGTTGCTACTTTTTCTGTTAATCCTTGTCAACAACATAGAAAGTTTTTCATTTGCAATTTTTTTCTTCCTTTCGTTCGTTCATTCTCTAGCTTTTGTTTCGCTGTCTGTGTTCTTTTTGTTTTCTAAATGAATAATTTTTTTTCAAGTGTATAGGAGCCTCGGGGAAAGTTGAAAATGAGGCGAAATAAATAATTTTTAATAGGAGACCTGACAGATTTTCATATATTGAGAAAATGACGAAAATTGGAGTTGGGCAACTTTAATTGCTAATTTGTTGAATCGGATTATAATGCCAGATTATTTTAATTTAAATGCGTCAATTGATTTCCGATTTATTATAAACATACCTCCCCCATGATTTTCACTTTTCAAAAAAAAATTTTAAAATAAGGATTCCGGAAGATTTAATTAACAAAATCTGATGCGATTATCATATCCTAACGGTGCGAATACGACAGAAGATTTAACTTTTCTTTCAACTTCTTCTTTGTTTTTATTCTCTTTTGAAAATGAGCTTGAAAAGCTTTCATTCAAACTTTTTCCTGTGGTAAATATTTCTATTTAATTGAAGCATATTTTATAAAAAGTTTTTTTAGGTAGAAGAAAAATTGTGCAATAATTGAGAAGATTTTTTGAAGTTTTGAAAGTCATTTAGAGATTACATTGATTGAACGTTTAATTAATTTTGTTTTCCAATTAGTAAAGAATACACAAGAATTTTTAAACCAATGTGGGTTTTGTGGATGCATGCATGATATAATACCATGGATTTTCCATTAACTGATTGCTATTAACCCACACTGTAGCCGTAAGACAGCGATTTGTCATCAGTACTTCTGTCGAAATCATAATTATTTAAATTCACCAATAAGGATCTGTAGATGACGTAAACTTGTGAATATAAATTAATTAATGCTCATATTATTAATTTATTCCCTTTAAAAGATATTTCCTTGAAACCACAATTGTTTAATTTTTTTTATGAATCCATACAGATGGAAAATATCTTTAACTGCTATGGAATTTTATAAATTATTCAGGAGGATCTTTGCATGATTTTAATGTATATTTATATTATATGGAATGTTAATGTTAATTGTATGTTAATGTTATACAAAAGAAAAATAATGGGGGCTATCATGGTTAATTGCATAAAAATACCTCCACCTCTTTTTTAATTCAGTTCAGAAAGGTGAAAAGAGAGCTAAAGTTAATTATTAATGTACATATATACAATTTCATCTGTGCAGCACAACCAACCCAACCACCTCCTCTCTCCTTTTAATTTTTTTTTATGATTTTTCATTCAAACTCTTAATTTTCCGGTTCATTGAAAAACTTCCAGTGCAGATTTTTTTTTTTCGTTAATTCTCATCCTCCGGCACTTGACTCGTCCTCACATTCACATCGATTCATGATGGAATAAAAGGAGAAAGTAGCAAACAGCAGGCAAGTCCAGAGTAATGTGAAAATGAATTGTGTGGTTTTTCCATTGTATTTTATAAAATAAAAAATTAAAATAATATAATGTGAAAATGAACATACAAGGTATGATAAAGTTAGTTTTCTGTGATCCACACACTCAGTTCTTTTTCCCCGACACAAAAATTTTCTTGTTTTAATAAAATTTTCATGAAATAAAAGAGATGAAAGGATGCAAATAACATGAGCAGATGAGCTTGAAAAATTAACAAATATCGGCGACGGACATTCGATATATGTCCAATTCATTCATAAAATATTCAATAATTTTCATTGGCTCTATGCTGTATATGCCGTGCAAAAACACGTGTTTCTTCACATAGTTTTTTATTCATACCGCGCGATTGCTTTTCATATCCACACACTCGACTCTCCCGATTCACTGTTCAATTGCACTCACTCGCTCATATACATCCACATGCTCCTTTATTTTTCATTTAATATTATTATATAATTGAATTAAGCGACAATTTTTCATTCAAGCACAATCTGATCCGCCGACGATGGTCATTAAAATTTAAAATGTGACTTGTAAAATATTTAACGTGAAGCGATATGGAAAATTCTTTTTTAAAAATATCTCAATATGTATTTTTTATTATTTTCGGACCGGAATGAGACAGGTGTAAGTATTTTATAGTAAAAATTGGACGGGTCCATTCATGGCTTTTAAGAATTTTCTACCTGAATTTTACAATCTATTGGAAGAACTGATTTTGAAAAGTCATTCTTTAAGCCACTTTCTTAAATTAATTCTCAAAGTAAGAAGCTTTAAAAGTTGTAAAAGCCAGAAAGCTCATCAAAATTTCAAATTATATTCATTGCTTAGTAAAATGACTGACTCTTTTAAATATAAAATATATTACAAATATTACAAAACTATTCCATCGTCTAGATATGATTGATTACTAGAGTTTAAATTGAATTAGCTAAAACCGGAATCTGTCAATTTTTGCAGCATCAGCAAAAAATCAGAAAAACATGATATAAACAAACTACACATACACACCAGAGGATTCTGATTAAATATAATGAAAAGCTATTGAAAATTATTGAGGTATAAAAGGTAATTGATAGTTTTCTATACAAAATTGATTGACAATTAGTGACATAAATGCTTCATAAATTTAACAATCCCATTTTTCGGTATCGAGTAAAAAACTTGAATAATAAAATTCGATTTTGTGTGAGAGAGAGATTTTCCATTTTAAACGATGGAAAGCAACCCTCATGTGTATTTATACATATTTCATAGAGTGTCCAATTAAAAATATATATATGTGAATGTATGTACACTATAACGAGAGAATCCTCACGATAATGGCAATGATGGAGAAGAAGAAAGGAAACGAGATCCCAATTAAAAAATAAAATTGTTTCATTTCATGTATGTAGCATGTATATTATATTTAAGGGGCTTAAAATGAGATAAAAAAAAGAAGAAGAGAGTCGAATTAAATTAAAACAAACATGAAACTAACTGAAATGGCTCACATACAACAATGAATGGGTTGAAAATGTTTTCTTCTCTTTGCCTTCAACATCAAGTACAAACGTTCACATCATGCACATGCCGAGAAAAATAAGAGCAAGAATATTAAAAGGAGAGGAGATAAAAAAAAAGTTTCGTAATTATCTTTTTTTTTCAGTAATTAAATAAAGAGATGCACATTATATGGTTGAGTAAATAAAGCAAGAGAAAGGGGATATAATTGCTGTTTAAAAGCTGGAAAAACTTTTACTTTTTTTTTCCATCTCATTGTGTCCCCTTCTAACGTCAACATTCTCCTTCCATACTTCATGTGAACTTGCTGAACCTCGTATATGATAGGAGTGTCATATTCGTACCATGATTTGTTTGTTGGCATTGTTTTAATTGAGGAAAATTTACGGAAGAATCGTTATGGTCTACCAGGTTATGGTCTTGATGGATCTTAATTAATGATTAAAGTCAATTGATGATATCTGAATCTAGTTTTATCGCTAGGTCAATTTTAAAAAATGTTCTGGGATCAGAGAATTTTAAGTACTTACTACAAGCAACAAATCATCAACATTTAAAATAAAATCTCTAAAAACACGGTTTGAATATGTTCATAGATAAGTTTCTACCTATTTTTATTTTTGATACCTTCTGCTACTTTCCTGAATATGTTTTACAATGAAATAAAGGAAAGGCAACAAAAGCACACACAAGAAAATAATTGTTGGTGAAAAATTTTATACTTAAATTAAACTATTTTGAAACTTTCTCTTTAGCTTTTTGTTTTCTGAATTTTCGTCCACAAAAAGTGAAACTGAAAAAATAGATGATTAGTACCATTGAAATGCTGTGTGATCTTCTGTATATAAAAAAAATATTGCTTAAGGGGGAGGGGGGGAGGGCAGGTCATAAGTGAACGACCCCTTAATGATTAGTGCATTTTCTCACGTATTTTTTAAAGAGTAAGGCGCACTATTGCATTTTTTTTGGATTATCAACTAGGCTCAAAGCTATGACTTTAAAATTCAAAAATATAATACGTAGTTAACAAATTAGAATATTTTTGGCAATATAAATATTTTGACTAAAAATTCACTAAATTATTATGACGAAAAAAGGCACAAGTTGTTATCTATCAAACCACAAAATGATGGAGTATATAAAAATAAAATAAAAATACAGGAAAAGTTTCAGTTTTTTAGCCAACAAATAAACTATTCGACTAGAAAATTTACTCACTCTGTATTATTTTTTCCACTCGACAATGAAAAAGCAGTTTCAGCAAATACTAGAAGCTGTGTTTTTAAAACGAATAAAAAACTTTCGAGTTTTAAATTTTTTTCATATTCTCATCATAAAGCAGCAAAAGCACAATTATACGGAAAAATAAGTTGGGTTAATTAAAAACTAACATCAATTAACTAAGCGCTCGTCAATTTCCCTCATTTTTTTTTATTCTCCTACAGCTTTTTGTTTTTCCTAAATTAAAAGTTTCCAAAAACTTTTTTAATTGTGCCTAATTTCATCTAAACATTTAGAACATCGTATTGAAGTGCTTATGATATAGTCTCATGAATACAAACCACTCAATTACAAACCACTTTTGGCACAAATCACTGTTCAGTGTTCGTAAGTGTCTTCTCATTTTTCTCTACCCAACTGCTTACTTCATTCCATAAATGCGACATCAAAAGTATGTGAATGTAACTTATTAAGTGGCGGTTTGTTGCATGGAAATTCAGGGTGTTTACTTTACATTTATGAACATATTTTTTATTGACTCAACCGGATTCTAAAGGATAGTAAGGCACTTGCAAATAAAGACAAAAAAAAATATTTTGCCTCAATCATAAACATCCTCAAATATTCCACAATTGCTTGTATCAGCCCACGAATACATGTAAAAGAAAATGAGATTTGATACTGTCAGAAATGGCACAATGTAAAATGTGGTTAACGTTATCTTCTCCTATAAATGGTTTGCATCATTTGCCATTTGAAGTCAACAAAAAATAAAAATACAAGATTCTTTTTCCTACCCAAAATCCCTTCGCACTTCTACACATATTATCATCTTGGAATAAATATATATGCTTTGCTTTTTATTGTTATGGTGAAGAAAAATCTTTTCTTTTATTCATCCCTTCCAGTTCCACAAACAAACTACAGTTTCATGTGTGTAAAAACAAATTTTTTAGAAGGGAAAGAACAAAAAGACTGAAATAGATTTCAATCTGCAGATAAGAACGCAACAGTAATATTTTGAGTCAGCACCTTCAATTGTTGCAATTTGTAATGTTTGGATTACATTATGGTTATGTGGTTGTGTGATCAAAGGAATGTTCATTTATGAATGAAAAGATTTAATGACGCAAATTAAACGGATTTAAAGAGGCACTTGAAGTTGAAGACAATAGAATTGAGCCTGATTTTTAACATAACTGCTAGTAAATGAGTAACTTAAATATGATTGACTTTAGAAAAATTATCACAACTATCATAAAATGACTAGATTGGAAAGTTACACAAGGGACACTTAAGTGCTATCCTACTTCTGTCATCCCTATAAAAATATTTTCATAAAAGCAAGTATCACATGATATTAATCTTTGAGTTAACTGCAAATTGAGGACTCAACAGAATGACATGTATAAAACTAAAAGTTGGAATTCACAAAGTTCAAGGAAGTTAAATTGGAATATTTTCTTCAATTGTGATTATCAAGATTAAGATTAAAGTGTTTATTCTCGTTCTAAAAGTATTTTCATTCTTATTCACATGAACTTGTCAGATGAAAAAAAAATCTTCGAGGAGTATCTTATGACTGGACATTTGAAGATGAAAATAAATAATTGAAGGTTTACAGATTTCGGACATAATGGAAAAGGTAGAAAAAGTCATCGACAACATGTCTTCAACAATTGCATTAAATCAAGTCGAAAATCTCTTAACTGTCTCATCGATAAATTGCCTTTGGCACTTATATTAACATTATCTTTTCATGTTCCTTCGATTTTGATCCTATTCCTTGTTAAAGTAAGTAGATACATAGGGTGGAATTATAGAGTGAGAATTGAAGAAAATTCCATAAAAGCTGTTATCGAAAAACCTCATCATTAAACAATATGTCACAAATGAGGGTTCAATAAAACAAATGAGGAACAACACACAAAATCAAATTTCCAGTTTGTCAATAACACAGATAGATTCATTTTGTGAGATATTGTAGCACATAATAATAAGGCACATACTGATTTATATTTTTTTCCAAGTCAATATTATAGTGGTCAGTGGTGAGCATTTTGGATGTTTGACTGACATTTCAAAGAATAGAAATGCGCCTTTAAACTCAATAATTGACAATGACATTTCATACAGATATCACTCTACTGCTGCTCCATTCAGTGGAATGAGGAGAAACGAAAATTAAGTTTATGGCATTATAAATGTTTATATGATAAATATACACATCAAATATAAATGTACGCAAATTGAGTGGAATAATGAGATAATGATGTGATTGATTTGATGACTGAATTAAATTAGAAACACATTTTCATGCTGTTAGCAGTTCATTTATTATATTAAAATTATTTTCCTCTCATAGAGTATGTCTTTGTCTCACTCACTCTCTCGTCATGTATTTCATTGATTATTATTGTATGCGTGGTTACTTATTATGGATGATTGCTTTTGCTTTTAGCATTAATTGGAATATTGAAAATTAAATTGTGGATGAAAATGATAAAAGGAAGGAAAAGAAATTAACAGAAATGAGAATTAATGATGATAATAAATAACAAGGTAATGAATGTTTCATTATAAAATAGCTACAGATGATGATAAAAACCACGGCAATTGAATTTTCGCGGCTTTTGTGAAATTAAAATTCATTCAATCATAAAGTTTTGTTATAATTGAATTTCATGCTCATTTCTTCGTGGTAGAAACATTCTGTTCTGTGGTATAATAGCCTCATTTTCAAATCCAATTAACTTTTTCCATACAAATTAGAAATGTTAAAATTTTCTACTTTTGACATTATTATTTGTCAAAATCAGCCGTTGCTTTAAATTTTTCATTCACGAAACTCAATATAGAAATTTCTTTTAAATTTTAAGACCGCATACATAAAGACTAATAATAAAATAAATCAACATACCATGCGCGTTGAACGAAGAAGAACATCTAAAGTGATTGATAAAGAGATGATGAGCTACAGGACATTCAAGCTGTATTCAATCACTTACCTCTCATTATCATCAGAACTCAGTGATAATTCCCATTCTTGATAATTCCCTCCGAACTTTACACAATGAAAGATATTAAACGAATGAATTTAATTCAAAATTCCTAAGAAATCTAAGATTTTAAATTGATAAGCGTTAATTTTTTGAATTTTTTTCGACCGTTTAGATTTGAAATTTAGAAAATCAATAACTTATTTTCACAGTTTCGATATTCTTTCGCATAAATTCCTAATTTTATTTCATTCGTCCTTCAGACTGATAAGATAGACTCCCAAAGTGTTTTGACTGGGAGCTCTTTTGATTTTGTCTGCAGCAGGAGGTAAGAATAACTAGGAAAATTAATTAGGAATATAATACTTTAATTAATTTTCCTTCAAAAAGAGATAAAATTCTGATGAAGGACTTAAGAGATTAGCCGAAAAGATTAAGGACAATTTTATAAAATTAATTTAAACTACTCTCATCCTCAATCCTTTTTCATTTCATATCAATTAATTTTTACATTCTCTCGCCTCATTCAATCTACATCCCCTTTTATTCATTCAAATGACTTTAAATGTGAAAAACTTAATTAAGCGCACACAAGAAGACAGCAACCAAAAAATGTTCAGATTAGATATGTATCTTATTTTTTTTTTTTTGAAACCATTGCTATGTATAAAAGTTTTAGTAATTAAAACTAATATCTACCAGCGACATCAAACAATTAATGACAACCGAAAAATAGAAAATTTTCATCTTCATTTTCATTTCCTTCATCTCGCATCTCCTTCCACCCCATCAACATCACCATCATCGTCTTCATTGCTAAAAGGAAATTCTTTTAACTGATAACGATTAAGTGAAAAGAGAAGGAAAATTAAGAGCAAAAAAAGGGGTTCCACTCCTTCTCAATGCTCACTCGCCATGAAAATTAACTAAAATTGTTTTCAATCTCTGTGCTGTATACTATGTGTTGTGTGTGAGCGAAAGAGTTGTAAGAAGAAGTTTTCGTCTTAACGACACATGAAATTTCGTATACCATTTAGTTTTTCCTGTTTCTGTTGTTAATGTAGAGGCAAGAGCAAAAAACAGCCATAATGATAAAAATTTTCAATTTACTTGAAATTTTTTGCTCCTACCTCTTTTTTTTGGTTCCCTGTCTCAATTTCTTCTTGTACATCGTCGAAAATATTAAAACTAACGATTTTCACTTTATTTCTTTTCTTTGATTCCCTCTCCATCGTCAATGTGTTTGTACTTCTTATTTTGTTTAATGAATATTATGGTATGAGATAGAAAAAACGCGAAACGATGGCATGTAGTGCAGAAATGAGCAGAAAACTTCCCATTCGCTATTTAGTCGTTTTGTAAAATGTAATATTCATTATTTTAATTAAATTTAAACTTCCTCTCACTCCACCTATCCATTTTTCAATCCGCTGCTCAGATCTATGTTTCGTCCTGTTATGGTTGCTGTATGTATTGCCAACACTGTGTATATATATCGAGTATAATGAGCACTAGGCGAGATAGAATGAGCGAACGTTATTATACATTGGGATTGTATTTAAAGTTTTGGCAAAAAAGCTTATACTATTTTTATTGCCACTATAGACTTGTTAACGCTGGAAATAGTTTCTAAATATTTTTATTCAGCTGACTGATTTTGTGACATAACAAACGAACGCATCCACATTTTTCTCTTTTCCAAAAATATTTCTTACGAAAAACATTTCTCGAATATCCAGAAGACACATATTGGAGACAATTTCTCGAAAAAACTTCAGCAACAGTATTGCTTTTCAGGAAATGTGGAGAAATTTTCTTTTAAAAGTCATAATAATTAAGACAATTATCAAAACGGGCAATCAAGTTGATGATTCTTCTTTCCGTTCCCGTTTTCTTATTTGTTCCGATCCTTATGATTATTATTGGTTTAATGAAATTTTCATACTAGTTATACTAGCTCGTGAATGGCTTGTTATTTTTTTATAGGTTATGTGGTTGCATAAACAAAAAGTTGAGTAAATTATAGCATAGAGGCGAAAAGATGACCCTAAAATTCAAGATCAAGCAATTAAAAAATCACTCTCATAAGCTACCCCTCATCAGCCCATTATCTTGAGTTTTGAAAATATCAAATTTAACACTTGTGTTCACTTATTACGTTACGCAAAAAAACGAATTTTTTCACCCCTCCCCCTCCCCTTGTTACAATATGTTACAACTCACAACCCCCCCCCCCCCCCTGAACGTTCATAATTTATTTTATTTTGATAATTTTTCATAAATCATTAAAAAGGTGGAAAATTTAAAAAAATGTTTTTGATGTGAATTTGGAAACAAATTTTTTTTCGTGAACGTTTTTTCAAAAGACAGACGACAGTTACAACGTTACAAACTTCTCGACACCCCCTCCCCCCCTATGTTTCATTTTGTTGCAATTTTTCAAACCCCCCTCCCCCCTTAAATGCGAACGTAATAAGTGAAGCCCCTCTGATGAAGAAGACTATAAAAACCATTTAACTACCAAATTTTTGAGTTTGAAAAAAATACAATCTTTGTTTCCGAAATAAAAAAATTTTAATTAAAATTGCACATGTGATTTTAATGAGTAACGAAATGGATTGTTATGGCACTTTGAAATCTTCTTCTTCTTCCCATTCAACTCGCCTCCCCATTTGACAATTTTTTGAAACATGCTCATTTGTTTCGTGTGTATGCCGTCTGCTGTTGCTTGCTCGCCTGCTCCTGTTTTAATACAGAATGATGAGCACACAGAGTGAATTTTTGAAAGCAATTATTTTAAATTTTAATTGCATTAATTGCACATGACACATGAGCATTATGTCTTTATTGATATTTTATGTTATGTAGCACATTCTCTTTCTCCTTTTATCTTGTCGTACAGTCGATATAGACTCTTGCTCGATACATAAGCAGTAATAGTAATAATAATACTTAATACTTACACAATCAACGTTGATGGTTCTGAAAATTGCGTGATTTTGATGGGTAACATGTTGTCTTTACTTATGCTTCGTTTAATTTGCAATCGCATCATATTTGTATGCCTATTATCCTCATCTCCCTTTTCTTCCTTTCTCCTTTGGTTATTAAATATATTCCATAAAAGTTACTATGACTGATTGCGATTGCACATTTTGAGGGGAGAAAATTAATTTAATTTTTTTTTGTTTCTTATTCGTCTCTGATTATTATTTGGCATCAGACAATGCAAGCTTATTTAATAGAGAGTATGTTAAGTGCAATAAATTCTTCTTAATATTGCATAATAATACAATTAAAATTAATAATACATATTATGATGAGAATGTGTTGTGGATGTAATGAGAAACAAACAAAGAGAGAGAAATTATATTGTTATTGAGTAATGCAGATACAATTTAATAGTAAAACGTGATACAAGACGTAGCATAATTTTAATCAATTAAGTAAGTAATCGTTTAAGACAATGAAAAATTAATTTAATTTTATTACAGAATTTACCTTTTATGTTGAACAAAAACTTGAAATGCTCCTTTGTTTGCTGATCAGAATTATAGAACATTTATAGCGTTATGCTTATGAAGTTAAAGCATTTAAGTGAAAAAAGATGAAAACCTTACTTACACAATATGATTTCAAGCCCTACTTTAGTTTAAAAATAAAAAAATATGAACATATATAAGTCTTAAAGTATAGTATGCAAATTGACAAACATTTCATAAATTTATATGCTCATTTTGATAGGAGAATTATTAAAAAATTTTGAGTGGTGAAAATATCAAACAGCGACTTAATTTATAAAGTTCTTATTCTTTTTTATCACAATCTAATCTCAGCAAAATAATATCGCTACTAAGCTTTGATAAAATTAAATAAATAACTGATAATAGGAGTTAATAAGCAATTTTTTTTCAATATAATTCAGTGTATATTTATTGCTTGAATTATTCAGTTCGTTGCTAATGCAATTAGGTGAAGGATTTTAAAATTAATAAAACCAATTTAAACCTATGAACCTTTTTTGCTCCTAATTCAGTGAGAATGGATGACTTGCCAATCAGTTTAGGACAAAAACTTAAATTTCTTAAACAACCAAAAGGATTTTCAACCAAGGCAATCCACTCAGGGCAGGAGTCCAAACAGTGGAATTCAGGGTAATAATTCTCTATTATTATTAAAGATTACTTTTTCATTTAAATTGCCAATTTTTCAATATGCAGTTGTCCCTCCAATTGTAACATCATCAACTTTTGTTCAGGAAACTCCTGGGGAGCACACTGGTTTCCGTTACAGTAGATATGGAAATCCAACCAGAAATTCTCTAGATGAGTGCTTAGCTTCATTAGATGATGCCAAATATGCAATTACATTTTCAGCTGGTGTCGGTGCTTTAACTGCAATTATGGCATCATTTGAGTCTGGCGATAATTTAATTTCAAGCAAGAAGTTTTTTGCTGGTGATTTTATTATTTGGGATACATTTAAAAAGCTTGGAGTCGAAACTAAGTACATTGATTTTGAGGATTTAAATAATTTGAAGGAAGCACTCGATGAAAAGACAAGAATGGTATGGATTGAGTCGCCAATGAATCCATCATTAACCGTTTTAGACATCAAAGCTATAGCTGATATTGTCCACTTAAAGTCAAAAGCATTTCTTGTTGTCGATAACACATTTCTGACTCCATACTTCCAACGCCCATTAGAGCTTGGTGCAGACATTGTAGCTTATTCAATTAGTAAGTTTATTGGTGGTCATTCGGATATTGTGGGTGGATCAATAGTTACAAACAATCAAGAGCTGTACGAGAAAATTAAAGCTTCTCAAATTGCTCTTGGAGTCATTCCCTCTCCATTCACTTGTTATCTTATAAATCGTAGCTTACGAACTTTATCAGTTCGTATGGAAAAGCATTTTGAGAATTCATATGCTGTTGCAAAATTTTTGGAATCACATCCTAAAATTGAAAAGGTCAATCACCCAGCACTTAAGTCGCATCAAGGATTTGGAATAGCAACAAAACAATCTTACGGACATTCTGGAATTTTTTCATTCTACATTAAAAATGGAACTTTAGAAATGTCCAAGACATTCTTCAAATCTTTGAAGTTGGTGATTGTCGGTGAAAGCTTGGGAGGTACAGAGACATTAGCATCATTTCCTTGGGTTATGTCTCATTCAACAATGCCTGAAGATGAGCGAATAAAAGCAGGAGTTACTGAAAGTTTGATTAGAATTTCAATTGGACTTGAGGATGTTCGTGATGTGATTGAAGATTTAGGATATGCATTAGAGGCTATTTAATTACTTTTTTTGTACAAATTTCTAGCAGATGTAAAGCATTAAATAAAATCTTGAATGTGTTCTGCCAGTAATTCTAATTTGACTTTCTATATTTATCTCATTCAGTTCTGATCTATTTTTAATGGAGGAAACATTTTCTCAAAGTACATAACATGAGTAATTTTACTCTTAGTGTGCAAACCATAGAGCAACTATTCTCTTAGTTCGCTACAAAACTTCATTCAGTGCATTTCGCAATGCAAAAATTTTCAATCGAAAAAAATTCAGAACTCGGCAGATACACAATTGCAACGGAAAATTTACAACCTGGAAGCTATCTTTTTGACGAATTGCCATTTGCAGTGGGCCCAAAAGCCAGATCATTATGTTGCTGTCTAGAATGTTATTGTTTAATCGATGGAACAGCCTCGGGAAGTCGATGTGAAAAATGTTCGTGGCCACTCTGTAATGATTGCTCAAAATTGACTGAATTTTCCGCTCATAAACGCGAATGTGAAGTTTTTCAAGCAGCAAAATGTAAATTTTATAATTTACCAGACCCAAATGTTAGTTGTATTCAACTGGATTGCATCACACCTTTGAGGGTTTTATTAGAACGTGAAGCAGATATGGATAGATGGAACATTGAAGTAGATCCAATGGAGGATCATCGTGACAAGAGATTTGAAACAGATGCTTGGGATGCTGATCAGCAAAACATTGTTGGATATCTGCTAGGTCCATGCAAATTAAAGGATAGAGGAATTACTGAGGAAATAATACAGAAAGTGATTGGAATTTTAGAAGTTAATGCATTTGAAGCAAAGACTTTAAAAGGAGATTATGTTCGATGTTTATATCCAAAGCTTGCAATCCTGTCACATTCATGCATACCGAATACAACACATGCCATTCATCCTTCCGAAAATTTTAAGTATGTTAAATATTATATCAATCTCATCAAGTTCAATCATTTTCAATTTATTTTAGATTAAATGTCAGATCAACTATAGCAATTTCGAAAGGCTCACAACTCTATTCATGCTATACTTATACACTAAATGGAACAATGGATCGTCAACAGCACTTGATGGAAGGAAAATATTTTCAATGTCATTGTGAGAGATGCTCAGATCCAACAGAACTAGGAACACATTTTAGTTCTATGAAATGTCGTGATTGCCTTTATGGCGATGTCGATTCTTCTAATCCATTAGGTAATATGTGCCTGCAATAAAACATAAGAAACTAGTGTATCGGGTAGAAACCCAATGCGGATATATTCACACCGTACCATCAAAAGTCTTATGGATAGACCAAGATTTGCTCAGCATAAGTTTGAAGGGTGGGCGTGAATTACGGCCGAGACCCATATCGACACAGTTCAAAAGTTATACCTAATTTATGTCATAATTATGTCAGCTCCAAAAACACTTAGTTTGAATTTTGTCAACCTCGGGAACACTATGAACCAGTATAGCTGATTTTGGTACAAATCTCGGCCATACTTCACACTTATTTGAACCACATTTTCTCGTAAATGTTAAAATATTATTAAAAAGAAATTATTTTTTTTTTCTAATATCCAATAATTTTTTTATTGAATAATGTTACTACTTTCATTTAGTCGCCCCTAGTCCAAAATTTAAAATGTATTTCCTTCTTGGTTCTTTGCTCAAAAAAATTTTAGGATGTTTTATTTGTGTTTGCTTTAAGCACCAGAATATTTATGCAAAGTTTCAATCCATTTGGATAAACCCTCGAAGAAAAAAGTGACAAAATTGATTTTGACTAGGGTCGCCCCTAGTCCAAAATTGAAAATGTATTTCCTACTTGGTTCTTTGCTCAAAAAAATTTTAGGATGATTTATTTGTATTTGTTTTAAGCACTAGAATATTTATGCAAAGTTTCAATCCATTTGGATAAACCCTCGAAGAAAAAAGTGACAAAATTGATTTTGACTAGGGTCGCCCCTAGTCCAAAATTGAAAATGTATTTCCTACTTGGTTCTTTGCTCAAAAAAATTTTAGGATGTTTTATTTGTATTTGTTTTAAGCACTAGAATATTTATGCAAAGTGTCAATCCATTTGGAAAAACCCTCGAAGAAAAAAGTGACAAAATTGATTTTGACTTGGGTCACCCCTAGTCCAAAATTGAAAATGTATGTCCTACTTGGTTCTTTGCTCAAAAAAAAATTTTGGATGTTTTATTTGTATTTGTTTTAAGCACTAGAATATTTATGCAAAGTTTCAATCCATTTGGATAAACCCTCGAAGAAAAAAGTGACAAAATTGATTTTGACTTGGGTCACCCCTAGTCCAAAATTGAAAATGTATGTCCTACTTGGTTCTTTGCTCAAAAAAAAATTTTGGATGTTTTATTTGTATTTGTTTTAAGCACTAAAATATTTATGCAAAGTTTCAATCCATTTGGATAAACCCTCGAAGAAAAAAGTGACAAAATTGATTTTGACTAGGGTCGCCCCTAGTAGGGTTTGGGGAATCTGTTAACAGAAAACAGAGAAACAGCTGTTTTTCGACAAAAATCTGTTAACAGAAAACAGGTCTCAAAAACAGATCTGTTTTCTGTTTTTCATTTTTACATAAAATTTACAGAAAAAAAAATTTCTTAATTTTTTGAAGAACTTAATATATTTTTCTAGCATTTCAAATTGAAATGTATTTACTATTTTAATATTTTTTGGATGCTTGATAGGTTTGAAATCATTATCAAATTTATGGTTAATCATTATTAATTTTGCAATCGAAATTTTAAATTTGTTAAACTTTTTGTAGCATTTACTAAAGTTTAAAAATATAATCAACAATTTTACAAGATATTTTTTTATAGAGAAAGATTTTTTGAATATTTCAAATAAAATATTAGAGCTTATGGAACTTTTACAATGCAACAATGCAATGTTACTTAAAGGTATACATTTTTTTGGATTTTTTTTTGCATTTTTATATTTCAGTATATTTTTTAGAGTTGATTAACATAAAAAAATAAGAAATAATAATGCTTAGCTCTAAAATGTATGCTTAACTGCTTATAACCACCAAAAAGTTTCATTATCTTAGAGAAACACTTAGGATAACTCAGTTTATTTTGAATTCTAGAAAAACAGGAAAACAGCTGTTTTTAAAAATCAAAAACCGAAAACAGACTGTTTTTCAAAAACAGCTGTTTTCCACAAACCCTAGCCCCTAGTCCAAAATTGTAAATGTATTTCCTTCTTGGTTCTTTGCTCAAAATATTTTTTTTCATCCAAAGTTTAATTTTATAAAAATCACAGTGAACTTTTAATTTGAGAAATTCGTAAGAAAGGAAAGTTTTTTGCTTTTTCTGAAGCAACGGCTGTTCCTACCTTGCCCAAAAACAGTACAGCTCTTCTATAGAGCAGCACGGATCAAATGTAAAAAACTAGAAGTCTCTACGATGTCTCGTTATTGAAATTTCTTGCTGATTAACTTGCTTGCTTGCTTGTTTGCTTACAGAAAGCATATTTTGCGATTTTCTCAGAAATGCCGCAACCAATTTGAAATCTGTTTTTTGCAAAAGATGTGAAATTCAAGGCACAAACTTTTCATCTCTGAACATTTTAAGCTATCTTGCTCCATATCCACACAAAATTTTTAAAAACTGATTTTTCAATCTGAACAAAACCAATAGATTCACACGTGAAAACGGTGTGAATATAAAAACTATTGCTCATAAGAAATTTTAATTTCTTCCTTAATATTCTAGATGCGGAAGCAATATGGAAATGCAACAAGTGTCCTATGGAAATTCCAGCAGAAAGTATAAGAGAATCGTTGAAGGCACTTCAGAATGAAATCGAATGTACAAACTCTGTTGAGTTTTTAGAGTTTTCTCTGGAAGAATATGAAGGCATTCTACATCCAAATCATTACATTATGATATCAATGAAAAGTGCTCTCATCGATAGCTACGGTCACATGAAGAGCTATTTGTTAGCAGAATTACCCGACATATTGTTGCACAGAAAAATTGAACTATGCGAGGAACTGCTTTCTATTCTTGACATTTTTGAAAAAGGCATGTCTCGTGCTCGAGCTTTAATGATGTATGAGTTACATGCACCAATAGTTTTGTATGCAAGATCACAATACGATATTGGACACTTAACCAAACTGGAATATTTGGAGCAATTAGAGAAAGCACGTAGAATATTAAATGAGAGTCGAGAAATCCTTGAATGGGAGGATGAAAATGTTTGTTTAATTGTCATCAGTGCTAGAAAATCTCAGGAGACTTTGGAGAAATTGATAGTTTCTTTGGAAATGGAACAATAATTCAAGGTATGCATTCACACATAAATTGCAATAATTTACTCAATAGTCCTGATAGAAGTTTCGATTTGATTAATTTGGACAACAGCAATAACATAATAAAATCGTTATCATATTTAATTGCTTTCATAACATAAATCAGAAAATTGTAGATATATAGATATACAAATGCATATGTTATGATTTAATAAACAATATGTCCAATATAATCAGTTCGGTTCATTAGTTATTATGAGTCATATAATTTGATTGATAAAACCATTAGTCTTATTAATGAGCTTGTCAATAAAGGAGGAAACATGACGAAATAAGTTAGATGTCATTTTACTATTACAATTATAATTTCTGTGAGAGTGTCACAATTTAATCCGTAATTGTATAAATTAATAGGAATCAGTCATATATGTAAGTGTGAAAGTATTAAGAATAGATACAACGTTTGAGTAAGGATATGTATGTATGAAAGCAACAGATGTTACTAAAACGCACTCTGCAAACAATTTTATTCATTAAAGTTCTTCACAATTTTTTACATTCACAATTAGGCTGTCCAAATATTTTAATGATTTCAAAGAAAATGCTTTTGCAGTGCAAACATTTTCGTCCTCCCATTCAAGGATTTCTCGACTCTCATTTAATATTCTACGTGCTTTCTCTAATTGCTCCAAATATTCCAGTTTGGTTAAGTGTCCAATATCGTATTGTGATCTTGCATACAAAACTATTGGTGCATGTAACTCATACATCATTAAAGCTCGAGCACGAGACATGCCTTTTTCAAAAATGTCAAGAATAGAAAGCAGTTCCTCGCATAGTTCAATTTTTCTGTGCAACAATATGTCGGGTAATTCTGCTAACAAATAGCTCTTCATGTGACCGTAGCTATCGATGAGAGCACTTTTCATTGATATCATAATGTAATGATTTGGATGTAGAATGCCTTCATATTCTTCCAGAGAAAATTCTAAAAACTCAACAGAGTTTGTACATTCGATTTCATTCTGAAGTGCCTTCAACGATTCTCTTATACTTTCTGCTGGAATTTCCATAGGACACTTGTTGCATTTCCATATTGCTTCCGCATCTAGAATAATAAGGAAGAAATGAAAATTTCTTTTGAGCAATAGTTTTTCTTTATGCTTTATGGAAGGCATTTATTACCTAATGGATTAGAAGAATCGACATCGCCATAAAGGCAATCACGACATTTCATAGAACTAAAATGTGTTCTTAGTTCTGTTGGATCTGAGCATCTTTCACAATGACATTGAAAATATTTTCCTTCCATCAAGTGCTGTTGACGATCCATTGTTCCATTTAGTGTATAAGTATAGCATGAATAGAGTTGTGAGCCTTTTGGAATAACTGTCGTTGCTCGTACATGCATTCTAAAAATTAAAAGGATTGATGAAATGTTCACAGTTTATATTTATTAAGCTTACTTGTAATTGTCTGACGGATGGATTGCATGTGTTGTATTGGGTATGCATGAATGTGACGATATTGCAAGTTTTGTATAGAGACATCGAATAGAATAACCTTTGATTGTTTTGGCTTCGAATGTATTAACTTCCAATATTCCAATTACTTTCTGTATTATTTCCTCAGTAATTCCTCTATCCTTTAATTTGCATGGACCTAGCAGATATCCAACAATGTTTTGCTGATCAGCATCCCAAGCGTCTGTTTCAAATCTTTTGTCACGATGATCCTCCATTGGATATACTTCAATGTTCCATCTATCCATATCTGCTTCTCGTTCTAATAAAACCCTCAAAGGTGTGATGCAATCCAGTTGAATACAACTAACATTTGGGTCTGGTAAATTATAAAATTTACATTTTGCTGCTTGAAAAACTTCACATTCGCGTTTGTGAGCAGTCAATTTAGTCAATTTTGAGCAATCAGCACAGAGAGGCCACGAACATTTTTCACATCGACTTCCCGAAGCGGTTCCTAAAACTGGACAGTAACATTCTAGACAGCAACAACTTGTTCTTGCTTTTGGACCAATAGCAAATGGAGTATCCTCAAATAAATATTCTCCAGGTTGCAAATCTCTAGTTGCTATCAAATATCTTCCAAACTCTGAATTTTTCTGTATTTCAAATGAGTCCATGATGGACAGAAATTGAAGAAAAACTGAGATAATTTTTTTTCTTTGTGGTGCTGTATGGACTTACGAAAATTTTTGAGTGGAAATGAGAGGAAAAAAACTTATTTTTAGAAAGAAAAATTAATTTACTTTTTCTTATACATTTTCTTCATTTTATGATTTTAATAGGCAATAACAGCACATAAATTTTTAAGAAGCTTAAGCGCCATCTACGTGTCAGTATTGTTTAATTTCAGATTTTGAGAATGTGTGAACAAGTTCTTTAAAAATATTAGGGAGCTGAATCTTAACAATGAGAAGATCAAGAAACGATGATAATTTCCCTCACTGTAGCAGCAACAAAACTTTCAGTCATGAGGCTGACCACAACTAAAGATTTAAGACCCAATGAATAATTAAAATCAAAATTTTCAGGTCGTTTTTAGATCCAACAAATAATTACATCATCTTAAAGTTTAATTTTTGATATTTGAACTTTGTCGCGAATATAGGCATGAACTAAGTATGAACTATAAGAAGTTTGCATTGAAAACAATAGAACAATAGAAATTCACAATGTCATTTAAATGCTTTTTAATAAGTTGTTGCTGTAGGATATTATGAACCAATTCGTTCTATCCTTCAATTAATATCCTAATACAATAAAAAATTAATCAAGTTTTAAGTTCTTAAAATTCTCACGTGCGTTCGAATAAAGTATAAACATTACGGACGAGAGAGCGTTGACTATTTTGAGAGAACAAAACAGTGAAAAGTATAATCAGACATTAAATTAAGTAAAGTTAATATGTGAGTAAGAAAAGGCATTAGTTGTGAATGGAACTTCATAACGATAGAACGTGTCTTACTTAGTGCTTTTCTATATTATTTAAGACTTTATTATTCCTTATTTGCTTCTTAATTTTTGTGAATTTGTTTTTCATTCTTAAAAGTTTTTTATATGTAATTAATTAACAAGAAACAGCCAAAGGAAGTGCAAAACATAACAAGCCACAAAGGTTAGAGGTAGTGTACATGACTCATATAATTTGTAAAGTGAATAAATAATCAATAAAAAGGGAAACAGTAAGAAAGCCCTAAAAATCATGAGTGAAAGGTTATCAGATTACATGCGATGCGAGTGAATTAGATAGACATTCTTAAGTCTGCAGTCTAAGCAGAACATAGAAATTTCTTTTGACCTCAGTCTAAGTTTCAAAGTTTTTTTTTTTTCTGATAAGACTGTCCAAAAATAAGTTCAAGTGTGCCTGAAAGTAATTTGTAGTGAAATTTAAGACTGTTTACCAAACTAATTCCACAGCAAACACGAGTGATAAGATATCGACAAGAATAAAACTTTCATTGATAATAATATTTCAAGATATACTTTAATTACATAACAAAGCATGTTGTTGCATGTCATAAGTTAAAGTTATAAAAATTTCAATAGCAACGCAATAAGCTTGATTTGACATAATTTTGTTTTTTATTCATGTTCTGAGGATTTTGAACTTTGTAAACATATATCTTATCAAGTAATGTGCCGGTTTTATTGTATACACAAAAAGTATGAAACGCACATGAAATGATTGTTATCTATCTTAAATTGTATACAGTGAATTATTGAAAATGATAATTATGTAAGGTGCTAGATCAAGTGCCAGATCTTCAAGTTCGGCTTTTCAGTCAGTTGTCAATTTAGATGACTCATTCTCTCATTATGGAAGTAAATAGTTCCAAATGTAATAATTGCTGTCAAGGATGTGTTAAAAATAGATTTTGAAGAAATAAACAGCTACGAAAAGAAAGCTTATGGGATTTAGACAAGCTTACAAAAGTTAATTATTGCATTCAGTCACTAAGGGGCCGTTCACTTATTACGTTCGCATTTTAAGGGAGAGGGGGAGTTTGAAAAATTGTAACAAAATGTAAAATAGGGGGGGGGGGGTGTCAAGAAGAATGTAACGTTCTAACTGTCGTCTGTCTTTTAAAAAAAAGTTCACGAAAAAAATTTGAATTATGAACGTTCAGGGGGGGGGGGGGGCGAGTTGTAACATGTTGTAACAAGGGGGGGGGGGAGGGGGTGTAAAAAAAGGTCGGTTTTTTGCGTAACGTAATAAGTGAACGGCCCCTAAATCAACACAAATGAATCAAATTTTCTATATCATTAGATAATAAAGTTCATAAGCGTTGAGATATCATTGATCCCAAAGTATTTCCTTCAATTTTCTCATTACTTTTATCAGCTGTTCTCAATGAGATTAATATTCAATGATAATATGACAAATTAATATGAGAATTTTATAGCTAGTTAATCGCACATGCCGTTCAGTAAACATGTAATTACCAGCAAATATTATTATTTTTTCATGGTCAATGTTATGTTGCGATTTTTCTTCTACCGGCTTACAGTGAAGCGGTAATAACAAAACAGCTACTTAATGTGAGGTGTGATTGTCGAGCCAAGTAACATTGATGTTTTGTAAATAACAAAACCAATTGATTCTCAATTGGAATTTTTTACTGTATTTTTCGAGAGAGATCAAACTTCACATTCATTAATCTTCTAATGGAACTATGGATTTATATTTGAGATGATTCTATTTTTAATATTTTCACGTGCTCAATTTTTGTGGCATCACATAGCATGTATATGATGTGTATTTTCATTTTAGTGTCTTACACATCACATAATGGCACCAACGGACGGTAATGGAAACGATCTTCGTACCAGAATCAGACGTACGCAGAGCGTTACTAGAGCAGAAGAGATAACAGATCAAGAGCAAAAACAAAGAAAATCACAGCCTGATAAGCCGTAAGTAGTATAATAATTTTAGAGAGAAGTATCTAAGGTCCCCAAACAGGTCACTGTCAATGACATCAAGATAATTAGCATTTCTAGAAACTTACCTGTCTCCACATTTATTTTTAAATAATTGTTGAATGTAAGCAGTGAATTTTTGATGTAGAATAAAAACAGAATTACCAAATGTCGTCATCCACAAGTGCTCTAAGTTCTAAGAGAATTCTCTCATTTGTCTCTCAATTTCCACGTGATATTGAGCAAGCAACTCAAAAAGCTGAATAATATAATTTACATGTGCAGATTAGGCGCAATCTCATATGTAATTATTGAGCTATTTAAGCTTGAAATAGGTCATTTATTATCCGTCATTAGCGATCCCAACTTAAATTAACTTTTATGAAAATGTATAACGCCTGTGCAAGGTTTCGAAGTAACTGTATATCAATGTAAATTTAATGCCATTTGAGGCAAGCAGCACAAATAAGTTGCAATTTCACCACAGGACGACAAAGGTTAAGATTTTAAAGAAAATTGATTCTGATTTCATTGATCTACTTCCAGAATCCACAATCCACAAGATTCTCTATTCTCATGGAGTTCAAATTTCAACGACTTTTCTGGGTGAGCATGTCTTTTAGCTCAGTTTCATGTGGTTTGATTTTAATTTATCATATTTCCTTATAGTCTTGTTAACTGGGGATTTCTTCTACTTACAATGGGTGGCATTCGTCTGTTATTAGAAAATTTTATTAAGTATGGATTTCGAGTTAATCCAATGGAATGGCTAATAGTTCTAACAGGAAGAAATGAGGGTGATAGCTCATATCCATCAGTTGTATTAGCTATGTGTAAGTACTATTGACGTTACTTTATATTTTCTTGAACTTAAAATTTTTTTCCTCGCAGATGTTTCAGTGCCAATCGTTTTATGCCTTATCATTGAGAAAGGACTTTCTGTGGTATGAAACTCTAAACTTTACTGTCATAATAGTCCTTTTAATATTTAATTTTACAGGACATTATTCCGGAATCAACAGGCAAAATAGCTCATGCTCTCAATCTTGTTGCTGTCATTCTTATTCCAATTGTTGCCATTAATTTGAAAGGAAGTTCATTCAGTTTGATGGGATCGAGTTCTGTATGCTTCCTTTACTGCATCGTATTCACAAAATTACTTAGTTATGTGCAGGTCAATCTTTGGTGTCGAACATTCCAAAAAGGACAGAAGATTTCGATTTCTGGCAAGAGACGTGAGAGCTTCTCAATTGCAGAATTTGAAAGGAAACAACAAAGAAACAGCAATGCTGATCAAGATGAAGGACTTCAAATGATGATGAATGGAAAAGTTAAAGATCACGAACCTGCAAAATTAGTCGAATATCCAGATAATCTTAATCTTCGTGACTTATTGTATTTCTTATGTGCACCGACTTTATGTTATGAGCTCAATTTTCCAAAGACTAATAGAATAAGGAAGCGATTTTTAATCAAGAGAATCCTCGAAGTTGTTGTTGGTGTAAATATTGCAATGGCCTTATTTCAGCAATGGATGATTCCTAGTGTCAAAAACTCATTGATCCCATTCTCGAATATGGAATTTACAAAAGCTAGTGAGAGGCTGTTGAAACTGGCTGTAAGTAGCAAAAACTTATATTTCATTAATTCTAATTAATGCTCTGCATATCCACAGATTCCAAACCATTTCATATGGCTTTGTATGTTTTATTTGATGTTTCATTCTTTGCTCAATTTGATTGGGGAAATCCTACAATTTGGTGACAGGTGCTTTTACAATGATTGGTGGAATGCAAATAATGTCGAGTCATTTTGGCGCCTGTGGAATCTGCCTGTGCATCGGTGGTGCATTAGACACATATACATTCCATTGATTGATATCGGATACAGTAAAAAAACTGCAGCTACTGTTGTCTTTTTCATCAGTGCCTTCTTCCACGAATATTTAGTATCAGTGCCATTGAAGACATTTAAAGTTTGGGCATTTTTAGGAATGATGAGTCAGATTCCCTTGTCATTTTTGTCAAAGTTTCTAGAGAAAAATTTAGGCGAAAGATGGGGTAACATAATGGTTTGGGCTTCCTTAATTTTAGGTCAACCCCTTTGTATTATGGTTTATTACCATGATTTTGTCATTCAAAATTACAATAGTGCTGTATCAGCTGAGTAAATAATATTTTTGTATACAAAGAATAACTAATTTATAAATTTTATAATGTAATAAAAAGCTCCTTTTTGCCAAAGTCAAATGAGAAATGCTTTTAGTCACATGTTCATGAGTAACGGAAAAAATTCAAAAATCAAATAGGGGGAACCTAGGTTATGAGAAAATTTTTGATCGATAATTTTCCATAACTTTGATTCCCCCTTGAACCTACCACAATAATAAATACAGCAGCATTCCATTAAAATTGCATCAAACGTAATCAAGAACTTCGCTAAGATGGCTCAACAGTTCGTAAAAGAATCAATTGGCAAGCAGCGTGTAGTGATCTTTAGTAAATCCTATTGTCCATATTGTGTTATGGCAAAAGAAGTAAGTTGAATCTCTTAAAAAATTATTGTAAAATTTCGTCACTCAAAAAAGTGTGAATCATACTTTTATCGTGTAAAATAATTATTCAGGAACTATTTAGTGCATTTAATGTTATGAAATTCTAATACCTAAATGAATCATTTTGTCTACTTCCAGCAATTTAAAAAGATCAATTTCGAATTTCTCGCTATAGAAATTGAAGATAGACCAGATTGTCAAGAAATTCAGGAAGTTTTAAATGAAATGACTGGAGCTAGGTCAGTTCCACGTGTTTTTGTTGATGGAAAGTTCATTGGCGGTGGAACTGATGTCAAGAAACTTTATGAAAATGGTCAATTAGCTAAAATGTTGCAGTAAAATAATCGAATGATATTCAAGAATTTGTGGCTAGTCATTGTGGTCATATCCCTAATCTAATTTGTTTCAAGTGTGGTTGATAATAACAAATTAATAGTGTGCTTCCAACCTTTTGCTTAAATTCTATGGCTGTACACAAAAGCAGCATAATTGCTCGATACCAAAAATAAATAAAGATCTGAATTAATTCCAATTTATTTTAAAACGTTACTTTTAATATATGTTAAAGATTCAAAATACAATTCAGCAGTAAGAATAAATTATTATTATTTTACACACCCACAAATTTAGCATGATTTTCTACTCTTCATCCTCTTCTGCATCGACTATTTCGAAATCCTTTCCCGTTGACGATCTTTGTGAGTCAGAACTTTCTGATTCCGAGCTAAAAATAAAGGAACAGATTAAAACCAGTTTGTGGAATTTGTTTTTGCACATTTCAAGGTTTCAGACAAGCACAATGCATTTTACATGACAATTACATGTCCTCAAAGCGTAATTGCTTGTTGATATAATATTAATAAAAGTTGGAGCTCTTTTGAGTTTTGATCGAAATATTTGAGCTCTGAAAGTAAACACTTGAAGCTAATTTCATATCACAGACTACTTACAGTTTCCTCTCTTCGTCTCCTTTATTTTCATCGGCAGCAGATTCCGTTACAACTTTTCGTTGTCTCAGTGTTGATTCCTCTGTCACGTTATCAGTCGTCTTTTTACTTTTTGATGTGTCTTGTGTAGGCTCTGTCACTTTATCGCCTCCTTCATCGTCACTGTCTTTCTTTTTTTTCTTCTTCTTATCCTTATCTTTTTTGCCCTTTGCATCAGATCCATCAATGTAATCATGCTATGAAATAAATTAAAAATTGACCCCATTAGATAACGTTGGACAAAAAATAGGAAGTTTTGACTTACTTTATACAGTGGTTTAAATGAGTCTAAGAATCCAACGTCTTCAGTCAAATTAGGAAGGAACCAGAAGTGATGCTTACCACCACTACAAATCCAAATAACACAGAATAGAATAAATCTCACAACGACAAGTGCAAGTAAGAAGACAAGGAATCCAGCAGCAGTCATTGATAAATAGTAGACACCAGTTCTTAATTGTGGTGGCCATAATGGGAATAGACAAATAACGATTGCACCAATTACAACTAATGCTCCGAAAATCCAGTAAGTCATTGGAATTGGATCATAAATCCACACATATGCTTCATGTCCATCGAGGAAAATTTGCTGTGGATGCATTTCTAATCGAATTTTCCTTTTCTTTTTTTCAGTAATTTTCTCACTCGGTTTTTCTTTTTCCTCCTTTTTATTTTCAGCATGTGAACTCTCTGCATCTGTTTCCTTTTTCTCCTGTTCCTTAACTTTTTCCTTTGTGCGACCACCTCTCAATTCCATTTCACTAACAGTCACTTTCTTTGCACGATGAAAGAATTTGTGTACCAACATCATGTTCAAATAATCAATTGCCATTTGCCGTGTTGGAAATAAGCAGTTGTCGCCCTGAGCGAATTTTGATGTCATCAATGCATCCAGTGCCTTTGTAGACGTAAAATATTCAACATTATGATTAAGAAATTTGGTCTTCTTTACAGGAACATTATTGCGTATCCATTTTGCAACCTTATATTCATCTTTGCTGGCTTTCTCTTTCTCTTCGTCACCGTCTTTGTATTCCTAAATTACAATGAGAATATAAAGAAGAACAAAATGTGAGTTAAACTTTTGGACCTGCCTTTTAACCTTGAGACTTTTAATCATTAAATTTTATGGTTGAACGAACGACCATGAAACGGATTAAACGGAATTAAAAATTAACATGATTTCCACACGTTTTTATCTTACATCGAATGACATTCTGAATGCACAAGATAATACTTATTATTTATTTAAACAAATTAAGATTCCTGATAAGATACTCGCAAATACTAATCGTCAACTAAACTATTGACTCAAATGCATCTAGGCATACAGACAGATACAATATGTTTAGTAACAGCGATGAAGAATAGAAACCGTTATCGTTTCGGTAGAAATTTTTTAGATTGGCCGACTTTTTCATCGCTACTTTTTACACTATTATTGCTCAACATCTTCACTATGTATCATTGGCTGTCTACATCACATTGAGAAAATTAAAGTACATCAGTTACAGTTTTTCTGACTTTATATTCACATCTCACAGTTCGTGTAAGTTCATGAATCGATAAATCTCTTAATGCGCTCAATTATAAGTGATTTCTTATCGCGATACTTTCTTTCTATCCCTTCTACCTACTTGCAAGCACTAAGTATTTCCACATACATAAATTGGAACGATTCAGCTGTTTACTTGCTTCTATATTTTCAAATGTCGAAAAAATCATGACGACTGGATTATTTTGAGTTTTGTTGATGTATTATTAACAATTTATAATGACGACTCGACTCGACTCGTGAAAATAACGTTCATTTAGTGCTGCTTTCTGGAACATTTTTTGATGTCATGTTTTTGTTGATGTGTCAATTTTTCTTTTATCACATACGCAGTTTATTTCTACCTTAGTTTTTAACTACATCACATACGGGACATGATAGATATAATAATTTACTGACAGTCTAGCTTGATGTTCTTTAATGTCCTTTTAAACCCTTTCAATAATCGTCATTTTGATTTATTTCTCGTTCTTTGATATTTTATGACAATACTTACGTCCTTCTTCTTTCTATTCGATCTCTTCTCTTTTCCCGACATTTTGTCAAGCTGTTTAATTACTTCTCTTTGATTCTATCCGCTTAAATAGTGTGTATTTAATTAAAAATCAAGAAAATTTATTCTTTTCTGGTTTTTCTGCTAGTTCCACAAGAAACAGTAACTTAATGTCTTTTTTTGCTCTAGAAAAATAGATTAGGAATATTTTATGTACACAGTTGGTATTGTTAATTCAATACAGTCATTTGGAGAAAATAGATAGTGTGTATTAATAAGCTATAGAGGAATAAAATGAATTTATTTACAATTCTAATCCACGTCAGTGATGAGAGTTTTTTTACTGTAAATACAAACACTAGAACTTCTGCCCTCTAAGTATATCAAGTTTTGTTGAATATTGATGCACTGTTAATTAATTACGATAAAAAAAAACAAATTTTGATGCAAAATGAAAGAATCACTAGCTCAATTTGATTAATTGTTTGACAGACAAATATTGAAAATTTGTGTAAATGAAAATTGTATACACAAGTATACTGTGGAATATATAAATTTTGTATTTTAATTAATTTAAGTAGTAAATACGAGATTAAGAGCTATGAACAAGAGGTTGCTGTATAGTTTAGTATTAAGTGGTGCCATTCGCTATTTTATATCAATATCTAAGTATTCAAAATCGATAGAAAATCATGTTGAAGTTTCGACACCTTTAAATTCCTTTAAAAGATGTAAGTTTACTTTGGTTTACTTGTTAATTTTTGCACATTAATAATGATTTATTTCCTTTCTAGTGAAAGAGGGTGTATTCTTGTATAACAATGGAATCGATCCATATATTGGGGATATTTTTCATGAGAATCCTTTCATATTAATAACTGCAAGTTTCTTGTTAAACAATTTCGCTGACTTTATATCCTTAATTTTCATATTTGTGGATCTTGTAACAGCGGTTTTCATATTTTATGGAACTAAAGGCATCAGCAAAAAGAATGTAAGACACAAATCTAAATCCAGTCATACAATTATTGATATAAACCAACTTACTTTCAGTTTAAGAAACAACAACTTGAAGTGTCAACTTACGCTGAAGGAACTGAAGAAATCCAATTTAATGAGAGTGATATAAATAATGTACCATTTTATTGTGCATTAGCTTATTTATTTAATCCATATTCAATACTTAACTGTGTTGGACAAACGACAACAGTTTGGAGCAACCTAATTCTATCGTTGATGGTTTATGCTTTATCAAAAGAACTGAAATTGTTATGTTTAATCTTATTGGCACTTGAGACTCAAAGAAATTTCTATCCATTCATTCTGATTGTGCCTATCGCACTAGCATTTAGTGAAAATTCAAAGTCAAAGAACATAAATCGATTAATGACAATTTTGCTGTTTGCCGGCATTTTTGGAGGACTGAATTACTTAGCATTTATTCAAATGAGCAGTTGGAAATTCATTGATTCAACATATGGATTCATTATTCACTGCCGTGATCTTACACCAAATATTGGATTATTTTGGTACTTTTTCACTGAAATGTTTGATCACTTCCGGCAACTTTTTCTCTATACATTCCAATTGAACACAACAATTCTATACTTATTCCCACTTACATTGACTTTCAAGGAAAGTCCAGAATTCTTGCTGACAATTCTTCTATCATTAATTACTATATTTTCATCATATCCTTGCATTGGAGCTATTGCTTTTTACATGTCACTAATTCCTTTATGGAAACGAGTTTCACCATTTATGTCTCACAACTTTATTGTAATGACAACATTCTTAGTGACGTCAATTCTAGGACCAACAGTTTATCACTTGTGGATGTACGCTAACTCAGCAAATGCCAACTTTTATTTTGGAGTCACGCTTGTCTTTAGTACAAGTCAAATATTTCTATTGACTGACTTATGCTTTGCTTATTTAAAGAGAAAGTTCTGTTTGAGCCATGGAGTATCGTTTGACAAAACAATGAAGCTATCACTGGAATAAAGGAACAAAATACTATTGAATTTTTTGTGCCAAAGAATTGTTTGAAGGAATTTAAAAATACAAATAAATTGCAAGAGTTCTCAATTTTTCAAATGAATTTTAAATCATATTCAAATTTGTTCAAAGTTGATTTTCAAGATATCCAAGTCATTTCTGTCCAGCAAAACTGTAAGTTATGTATATATTGATCGTAGTAATCTGATTATTATTGTAAATATTGTTATCGTGAAAAGAAGTTTATTTCAAGTTAAAAATTCCATTTTGCTATTCTGCAAGGATTAAAATTAAGAATACATTATTTTAATTATCCTAGAGGTTATGGGCCTTATCGCAATGAAGTTTGAAGAAGAAGAATCTGCCATGTGCGAGCGATTGATCTCATCGTTCCTCAACATATTGTTTTGATGGTTGATAATGATCAACTGGTACATGTTTCGGATGCGAAAGGAGGAAAGGAAGCATGGGATTCATTGAAGAATTTTCACCAAAACGATTCAGCTGGACATAAGATGAGACTTTATAAGCAACTGTTCAAGATTGAATTATCATTGGGTGGTGACATGCAGAAACATTGCAGAAATTGTTACGATCCTAAAGACTCTCAGTGGTGTATTGACTCTGGTGCTTCGTCTCACATGACCTACAGTAAGTCGTTTTTCCTTAGTTTTGATGAAAGTTTTAGGGGTACGTACGGTTACCGTTGCTAATGGCGAAAAGGTTGAGTACATAGGACGAGGGGATGTTCGTATGAATGTATTTGTGGGAAACAAAAGCTTTAGTGTAGATCTGACTGACGTACTTCTGGTGCCATGCATTGACAGTAATTTGATCTCTGTCTCAAAGCTCTGTAATAAGGGCTATAATACTACTTTTGATTCAACTGGCTGTTACCTTAAAGTAGAAGGTGTGGAACAATTGCAGATTGCTGAGAAATCAGGCGATATGTATGTTGTAAGAGCTGAAGTTGAAAGATCATGCTTGGTTAATGACAGAGTGGATAGATGCTGTGTACATGAATGGCATCGAAAATTAGCTCACAGAAATTTGTATGATATACTCGCGATGAAGGATAAAGGTTTGAAAATTGCCAATTGTGATTGCTCAAATGTTCCAAAGAAGGCAACATCTGTTGAAAATACACTTGATTGCATAGTCAGTGATATTTGTGGCCCTATGCCAACTAACTCAGTTGGAGGATTTCGATATTTTGCAACATTCACGGATGTTTATTCAAAATGTACGGCAGTATATCTTTTGAAGGTAAAGAGCGAAGTACAGTCTAAAGTCATAGAGTATTTCGAACTGTTGAAAAACACGTTCGGTCGAAAAGTTAAAATGTTCCGTACGGATCGAGGAAGTTCAGAAGTATTTACGTTTAGAGGGACTTCGATTTCAATGTACTGTGGCTTACTCACCAGAGCAAAACGGTATTTCTGAGAGAAAGAATAGGACTTTAGTTGAGGCATGTAGGACGATGCTTACTGAGTCAGGGATGTCACGAGAGTACTGGGATGAAGCCATAATGAATGCGAATTATTCATTGGATCGTATTTTGAGCAAAGAAGATCCAAAGTCCCCATATGAGAAGTTTTTCGACAAGAAACCAGATTTCTCAAATTTCAAAGAATTTGGTGTTGGCGCTTATGTGATGATTCCTCATCAGAAGCGAAAGAAGTTAGATCCGAAGGCTGAAAAGCTGGCATTCGTGGGATATGACGGATGGTCGAAAGCATATCGACTTGCAAATGTGAAACAACGGAAGATAGTTGTGTCACGTGATGTTGTGTTTCTAAAAGAAAAGTTCATGAAGATAAGTCAGAATTCATCTCATGAAATGAAGAGAACTAGCGGTGATTTGGTGCCGTTCCCGTTTTCGTCTGGTTCTACAATTGATGTTCAAACATTCAATGATTCTGAATTGTTTTATGATGCTGAAGACTCTCAAGATGAAAATGAGGTAGAAGAGCATGAAGAAGAGACAGATCAAGAACATTTTGAACATGGAGAATTTGAGAATGACCAAAGTCAGGAAATCGTCGATGATCATAATTTAATGAATGATCAGAACGTTTCGGTTCAGGAGGAGAATGGAAGAAGTGATGAAATCAGAGTATCAAGTAGAAGAAATAAAGGTCAAAAACCAGAACGTCTTGGTGATTTTGTAACTTATTCATCAAGAGTTGATTTTGAGCCTAAGACACTCAAACAGGCTATGAGTTGTGTTGATGCTGATAAGTGGAAAAAAGCTATGGAAGAAGAGATTAAGTCCATTAATCAAAATAAAACCTGGGATCTTGTGAAATTGCCAAAGAATAAACGTGCAATAGGTTGTAAATGGGTTTACAAGCTTAAGCGAGATGATAATGGCCAGATGTGTTCATATAAAGCAAGATTAGTTGCTCAAGGATTTTCCCAGAAGTATGGTGAAGATTATGATGAAGTGTTTGCACCAGTGGCTCGATCAGCAACATTTAGGATTCTTATGTCGATAGCTGGTGTTAATAATTATCATGTGAAGCAGTTATTAAGACTGCATTTTTGAATGGTGATATCGAGGAGGAGATATATATGAAGCAACCACCTGGATTTGAGAAGGGAAATGATGCTTGCAAGTTAAGAAAAAGCCTTTATGGTTTGAAACAAGCAGCAAGAGCATGGAATAAAATTTATCATTAAGCAGTGATTAGTTTTGGATTTAAGCAAAGCAAAGTTGATAAATGTCTGTATAGTATGAAGAAAGGAAATGATACTTGCTATATGATTGTTCACGTCGATGACATTCTAGTCGCATCGAATAATGAAAAACTGATAGAACAATTTAAAAATCACATTGCAAGTCTTTTTGAAGTAAAAGATATGGGAAGTGTAAAGCACTTTTTAGAAATTGTTGTGAAACGTGATAAAGATGGAAATTTTCATATAGGTCAGAAACAATACATTGAGAAGATTGTGGAAGAAGCTGGACTTAATGATGGAAAATTTTCAAAATATCCTTTGATGACAGGCTATTTTAGGCATCATGATGAGAATTATTTAGAATCAAATAATGAGTATAGAAAACTCATTGGTAAACTGTTGTATGTTAGCACAAATACAAGACCTGATATCGCTGCATCTGTTGGAATATTGAGCCAAAAGATTTCAAAACCAACAAAGACCGATTTGATAGAAGCGAGGAGAATTATTCGCTATTTGAATGGTACCAAGAATCTAAGTTTGATGTTGAGTGATAAGACGAAGGTTGGAGAATTGGAAGTTTATTCTGATGCAAGCTGGGCTGAAGATTCGTTGGACCGAAAATCTATCAGTTGTTTTCTTTGTGGAATTAATGGAGGTGTTGTTTCATGGTGCAGCAGAAAACAAGACGTAGTATCGTTATCATCAATGGAAGCTGAATACATCGCACTCTCAGAAAGTTGCAAAGAGCTAAAATGGGTTAAAATGTTGACCGATTTTTTTTCCTGAGTTTGTCGTTCCAGATAAAGTTATTCTGTAATCGACAGTCAAAGTAGTATGAAATTGATATCTAATCAGAAATTTAGCAACAGAAGCAAACACATTGATACTAAATACCATTATGTGAAGCAATTGGTTGATTTAGGAAGGATTGAACTGAAGTATTGCAGCACTGATGTAAATATAGCTGATATGATGACCAAGCCGTTAGGAAATATTAAACTGAAGAAATTTACTGACGATTGTGGACTGCGTTAGTAATATTAACATAATATATCCGAAGTTAATATTAAGGAGGAGTGTTGAATAGTTAAATATTGTTATCGTGAAAAGAAGTTTATTTAAAGTTAAGAATTCCATTTTTGCTATTCTGCAAGGATTAAAATAAAGAACACATTATTTTAATTATTTAAGAAAAACAATTAAAATCACATTTGATTACTTCAAAAATTAAACAAGTAAATTAACTTTATTAAATAAGTAACATTAAAATTAAAATCCAACAAAATTCACATGAACACGCATAGAACTAAACGATTGTGCTATAGGTCCCATCGTCGTATCCATATAAGTTTGAAGCTTCTCACATAATTTTCTATAAAATAAAAATAAAAACATTAAGATCGTTAAGGTAATAAGAGACAGAAGTACCTTGAACTCAAGTCTTTGGACGATCCCCATAAAATGATTCCATTAGTCTTTAAGTTCTTAGCAATTTGGAAAACCATGATTAAATCAGTCTAGATTGTCAATTTCATGTATGTTTGTTGTTTTTGGAATGAAGGAAAGGTCCAAAAAAGAAAAAAAGAAAATTTAATAAGATCGATGATGATGGAAGGCAAGAAAGAATATAAAATTGGAAAAAAGGAAATAAATGATATAAAAATACTATAAAAAAAACTTTTTTAAAAAAGCACGCTTTTATTTCCGCTTACAGTGCACTAAAAAGGAGAAAATAATTTTTTTCTGAGAACTCAAATTCGATAAAAAATTTTATGACTAAAAATAAAAGCGTGGGGCGTTTAATTTAAACCAGCTCTAGATTTTCTGTAATATATTCACAAACCTAATGCTTTTGTAAACATATATGGATGATTTTTAATTGTCACAATTCAAGATTTAGTGATGCATGCAAGAATGCCCCACGCTTTTATTTTTAGTCATAAAATTTTTTATCAAATTTGAGTTCTCAGAAAAAAATTATTTTCTCCTTTTTAGTGCACTGTAAGCGGAAATAAAAGCGTGCTTTTTTAAAAAAGTTTTTTTTATAGTATTTTATTTTCTACTTTTTAGTTTTATCAAATCTATGAATCGATTCAACTTCAAAAATTTGGAATTTTTGTTTTATTACAACACTGGCTCTATCAAACTTAATAAGGAGCTTACAGTTTTTAGATTACAGGAAGTTTTAGACTCCACTTCGCTTCACTCCGTTTCATTCAACTTTTTATGAATTAACAGATTTTAATGGGTAATTAGTAAAGACTGTCAAAATTTTTTATTCGTTTTAAATTATTTAATTCATACCTGAAAATACATGAAACTCTTTTAAAAATGTCCTAACTTCAAATAAAGATTTTGTGTTTATCCGTCCCATTCCTACTACATAACATGTAGATTCTTAACATAAAGATGCAAATCACATCTATACGTAACGTATTTATAACAGATTTTTTCAAATTTAAATTTAATGAATGTCATTTATATGATATGCAAAAATATGTCAAGCCGTTAATAAATAGAATAATTAACATAATTAAATTGGTGAAGTGTTATAAATATTGTAAAAAAATTAAAACAGCATAAATGTATGCTCTAAATATGTGTGCTAAATGCACATCGCATATTGATATTTATTTTGCATTAATTAGTAACGGACTTGGGTTTAACGGATTTTTCTTTCTTTTTTTTTTTTTTATATTGGTCTTTTTGTTAAATTTTTTGGACCACATATCAAGATGTCACATTATATAACTTCTTGTCATTTTATCAATTACCTTCATTATATCATCTGATTTAAAACCGACAGGTTAATATCAGAATATTGTCATTTCTGTTCCGCCTTAAACCATTGAATTAAATAAAGGATTATTATTATTATTATTGGGTTTAACGGTTTTTTTGAAAATTCAAATTTTCACTTACGAATGTTCATGAAAAAATTACTTGTCAAATTTTTTGTCTTGCCAAAATATCTTTAGCTGCTCAAATTTATAGTAAAATTAAGAATTAGTAATATTACTTAAACTATAATGAATCATATAAATGACTTTTGAGCATTCCAAGTATAATATTTTAAACAAATCAAAATTTCATATCATTGACAATGGATTTTTTCCAATATAAAAAAGTTTTACTTAAATTGTACTATAATTAAGCATTTTTGTGGTTCCAAAGTGTTACAATATTGTATTGTCACCGGGAATACGTGTGTACACAAAATTTGAGCTCGATTGGAGCAATAGAAGTGGTCGAAAAATCGATTGCAAGATTTGACGCTCCATAACAGAGTGAGTTAAATAAAAGCGTGTAATAATAAAAAAAGAGAGATACTCAATATAGATATGATAGATATGTTGGCATTACCTCAGATAAAAAGTTTTTAGTATCGATATAAACGTATCGTATATAGACGTAAGTCTTTTTATTATACATTTTTGCGAATCTCATAGCTTCTTGAATTCGTGCCTTGACCATTCTACAAAACATAGATAAAGTAAGGGGCAGAGAAAAAAATATTAAATTTATTCATCAGTCCTTAAAATGATTAATGGATGAGAGTGAAATTTTGCAGAATGAAATCAAATATAGGTATGAATGAAATTAAGCATGAATCTTCGCATATCTCATCAATCGAACCCAATAACATAAAAAAATTTCTACATAAATTATTTTGAATGAGAGGATGAATGGAAATAAATGAAGGAAAGAAGAAATCACAACCTCTGCCTTTCAGCACTCGACATTTTTTGTTCTGCCAAGTACACAGATGGTAATATCAAATCAGAAAAACGAAACATCCAATTCATCCTGTTGAAAAAAAAAATAGAAAAATTATGAATATTAATCATTGATAGTCATCAAAATTGAAAATCAAATGGAATCGAACGTAATCCATCATAATTTTTAGAAGCAAATAAATGAGATGTCATTAAAGTCACCTATCATTCTCATCTCGTACTTGTTTCGGACATTCACTTGACTCTTTATTGAAGCAATATGGAAATGCGTAGTATCCCCATAGTGCATTTGGACGTAATTTTTTTGATAAAATGATAGTTTCTTCTACATATCTTCGGCCTGCTGCTTCAAATCGATTTTGTGCCTGATAATAATTTTTTAAGTTACTAAAAGAGCCTTAGGAAAATTAATTTTTCATCACCTCTTGTTGCTGACGTGACTTTGTCCAAAATGGATGTCTCTCACGTTCAATTTGAAGCGATAAATCTTTGTATGGTGTTAGAGATCCGAAATTTTGACGAAAAATTGGACGCCATGACTCAAAATCTATAATTGCTAGACCTCTATTATTAACATCTGGTATTAGATCATCAACTGCAATTTTATACTCTTGTAGATGCCTCACAATATCCCCTTCCTGCGGAATCCCACCGTTTCTTCTTTCAAGATTATTTCCAAGTGCTGGAAACATCCCCGGATCATACATTATGGAAATTATGTCACCTCTAGAAACAAAGAAGGCAGAATAAATGTTAATAAAATCTACAAAATGGCCATTCCATTAGCTTAATTGAATGTTTAATTGCCAAAAATCGCATACCATTTAACTGTATTATTCATACTCTTCGCATTTTTTTTTATGGTCGATGCTCATAACGACCATAAGTAGACGCAGAAAAAAGTTAAAAATATGAAGCCGAAATTTTTTGGAGAAATGTTTACTTTATTGCTTTTTACCATCTCTCAAAAATAATTTATAGCATTCCTTGAACATTTTATGCAGATGGAAGATTAGCTCCTACATTATATCGAGGTTAAACTTTACTTGATTAAATCATTTTTGAGATTCTTAGGTTGAGTTCTTCCAAAAACTCCTCAACATAACTTGATTCCCGAAAAAAAAAGTAATTTAATTGGCATTAAACATAATTAAGATGTAAAAAATATCGTAAAACGAATTTTAGAGGTAATCTTGTTCCTCATTCTACTTAATCTTTTCACATTTTTTAATTTGGCATTAAAATAATTTAATTTCCTCATTGTTTGCTCATAATTTTAATATCATGGAAAATCGCGAAATGAGTAAATACAATTATTATCATTTGCGTTGTAGGCAATTTTCTTCCATTTATGGACGAAAGACGGAGTTTGATGATGAAAAGGGGAAGAACATTTAATTTCATTATAAACACATTAGCAGAGGGATTTTGGATTCCTCTATCAGCAGACAAATAATTTTGTGTTATTAAAAAAAATAAGTAAAATAAATTTATAGAGCTGAAAAATAACGATGTTGATGATGCAGAAAAAAAATAATATCGAGATTAAGCATTCTTTATGATAAAAGGAAAATGATTTTCCTAATAAGCATATGAAAAGTACATAAATAAATGTTATAAAAATGATTTCTGTTTTTCTTTAAAAAAATTATTGCTCAGAAGTGCAAAATTTGGGGATTTTAATAAGTATCAACAAGATGATGATTTTTTGAGCATCTGGTAATTTTGACTGAGAATGTTGATTTTTGTAATTTTAAGCTTTAATCGTATTTCTAGCAAGATATCAACATTATTAATGAGTGTATAATGTTAGACAATGCATTTATTTTGGGCACAATTATAATTTTTCTCAAAATGTTCAGTTAAATGACAAGTCATAAAGGAAAATTTTTCTTAAAAGTTAGATATGTTGAAATATGATTAAAGGAGCTCACAAAAACGATCCTTACTTGAATGCTCGTTTAATGATTCATTTTAAGTCAAATTCTTAAACTTTGTTCATGGCAGAATGAGCTTAATTGGAATTCCCTTAATTCATTGATATGTGAAAGTTTCTTGCCCGTCAGCTTGTGCTTTTAAATAAGCAATATGTTGAAGTTACGTCCTATATGTTGTGCATGTATATTTTTTGCATGCAAATTTTTATAGTAAAAAAAGGAAGCATCTGCAATGAATTTTTATTGAGATTGTTAAAATTAGAGCATAAAAAATGTTTCCTCCTCTTTAATGAACATATGCATGCATTCAGTTTATATTCATAAAAGCACAAAATATGTTTAATGGAATTTTGTTTGCTTTTTAATCGAGTATTTTTTCCATGTTTGTTCTAAAAATGATGAAGAGATTTAAATTAAGTGCTCTAATGACTCTTCATTATAAAATTTTAAATGATTTTCATTTTACAAATTTAACCTTCTAAAAAGTGCACAAATCTATTTACTTCGATAATTATTTTTACATTGAATAATTCACGTTTAAAAATTTGGTCAAAAAAAATTCTGACTTTCTTAAAACAAAAAGTTTTTTTTTCTTACAACTTAATTTAATTATACGATCATAAATAAGATGAATTCATGCATGAATGCATTTAAATCAACTTTTTTTTTCTCCTCTCTGATAAAAAAATAAAACTTGATGCAATCAGCAAATATATTGTAAAAGGTTGGGAGAAAAGGGAACCAACAAAATCAAATTTAATTAAAAATCCAAATAAAAAAGGTAGAAAAATATTTCTTAATAAAATTTTCTTCATTGAATTGAAATTCATTCGTCATCATCAACAAAAAAATCTTGCATTAGCATTTGAAGGAAGGCAATTATATATACTAAGGTTGAAATTACGTTTAAAAATTATTCATAAAAGAAAAGAACGAAAAGTAAAAAAAATGTGAAAATTAAAAACTCGATCGGCCTGTTTCACTAAAGTGGATTATCCTCGATTTCGGATTATCCACTTCAGTTTTTTGTAAATATCTTAAACTTTATGGGAGGTGTGGTATTTCTAATTTTGGATTATAATAGAGTGAACTATGCCTGAAATTTCTGTATACTTTGAGCTTTTACTTTTTGTTAAGAAGTATTAATTATTCAAATTTCTAGCCAAATCTACTAGATTAACTTCGATTTTTGCTATAATTCTCAAACTAATGAAGATATAAAAATTCTAAGTATATGTTAATTTAAGTAGCAAAGTACTCTAACTAGATCACACATTAGATTTCTTAATAACCTTAAGCGTCTGGAGATATTTCCAAAAAACTGAAGTGGATAATCCGAAATCAAGGATAATCTACTTTAGTGAAACAGGCCGGATAGGATTCCGAGGAAAAGAGTATTTTACAGATTTATGAGAGATGAAAAGTAAGAGTTGATTCCACAATCATTTGAAAAGTGTTATTGATGTGATTAATTTTCATGCAACAGCGAATTCTCGTTAAGCGTCCTAAGTAGGTCAAAAGTTGATGTCAAGTTATAAAAATTTAAAGCAGTCTTTTGCCACGACAAAAATCAATTTGTCTTTGATAGCATGAAAATTTAATATCTAATCTGCTATACATACATACATAATACTTCTGATTGACATCGTACATATGCCATCTGAATACTTCTTTCATATCTCAATAACATAAATTTGAAATTAAATCGATTCATACGATTCATACTTATTTTTCGATTCATGCTTTGTGCCTTTTCTATTAAAAAAGAAGAACATTTTCATTCAAATTTATGTATAGATTTGAAATTGACATTTGCAGATAATTTTTCCTCATTTTTATATTATTTTTTTGTGTGCACTTCCATTCGATTATTTAGTACTCATTTTGTATATATTCAGATAGCATCGCATTGTCAAAACATATTTTTATGTCCTTATCTCTTACATTAAGATTGTAATTTAGGAAATGAAAGAAAGAGATTTTGTTTTTCTATTCACTCTTCATTCCAATGTTGGATGTTAAATGTGCATTTGAATGTGGGTGTGAAGTACGGCCGATACCCATATCGACACAGTTCAAAAGTTTTACCTAATTTATGTCATAATTATGTCAGCTACAAAAACACTTAGTTTGAATTTTGTCACCCTCGGGAACACTATGAACCAGTATAGCTGATTTTGGTCCAAATCTCGGCCATACTTCACACTTATTTGAACCAGATTTTCTCTTAAATGTTAAAATATTATTAAAAAGTAATTAATCCTGAATTATGTCGCTATTTTGTCAAGTGTTTTAAGATAAAGAATTTGTTTTTTGGTTTCCATAATGAAGAGTATGAACAAAATTCAGATGGGGGAGTCGAAATTTTAGATTTCGTTTTTTTTTAAGCTATGCATTACAAAAAGTAATATTGGTATGTGATTTATGTCAGAATTATAACAATTCAAATAAAACATCCAAAAAATTTTTTTGACCAAAGAACCAAGTAGGAAATACATTTTCAATTTTGGACTAGGGGCGACCCTAGTCAAAATCTATTTTGTCACTTTTTTTTTCGAGGGTTTATCCAATTACAGTGAAACTTTGCATAAATATTCAAGTGCTTAAAACAAATACAAATAAAACATTCTAAAATTTTTTTGAGCAAAGAACCAAGTAGGAAACCAAGGGGCGACCCTAGTCAAAATCTATTTTGTCACTTTTTTTTTCGAGGGTTTATACAAATGGATTGAAACTTTGCATAAATATTCAAGTGCTTGAAACAAATACAAATAAAACATTCTAAATTTTTTTTGAGCAAAGAACCAAGTAGGAAATATATTTTCAATTTTGGACTAGGGGCGACCCTAGTCAAAATCAATTTTGTCACTTTTTTTTCGAGGTTTTATACAAATGGATTGAAACTTTGCATAAATATTCAAGTGCTTAAAATTAATACAAATAATACATCCTAAAATTTTTTTGAGCAAAGAACCAAGTAGGAAATACATTTTCAATTTTGGACTAGGGGCGACCCTAGTCAAAATCTATTTTGTCACTTTTTTTTTCGAGGGTTTATACAAATGGATTGAAACTTTTTATTAATATTCAAGTGCTTAAAACAAATACAAATAAAACATCCTAAAATTTTTTAGAGCAAAGAACCAAGTAGGAAATACATTTTCAATTTTGGACTAGGGGCGACCCTAGTCAAAATCAATTTTGTCACTTTTTTTTCGAGGTTTTATACAAATGGATTGAAACTTTGCATAAATATTCAAGTGCTTAAAATTAATACAAATAAAACATCCTAAAATTTTTTTGAGCAAAGAACCAAGTAGGAAATACATTTTCAATTTTGGACTAGGGGCGACCCTAGTCAAAATCTATTTTGTCACTTTTTTTTTCGAGGGTTTATACAAATGGATTGAAACTTTGCATAAATATTCAAGTGCTTAAAACAAATACAAATAAAACATTCTAAATTTTTTTTGAGCAAAGAACCAAGTAGGAAATATATTTTCAATTTTGGACTAGGGGCGACCCTAGTCAAAATCAATTTTTTCACTTTTTTTTCGAGGTTTTATACAAATGGATTGAAACTTTGCATAAATATTCAAGTGCTTAAAATTAATACAAATAAAACATCCTAAAATTTTTTTGAGCAAAGAACCAAGTAGGAAATACATTTTCAATTTTGGACTAGGGGCGACCCTAGTCAAAATCTATTTTGTCACTTTTTTTTTCGAGGGTTTATACAAATGGATTGAAACTTTGCATAAATATTCAAGTGCTTAAAACAAATACAAA